AACTGTGTCTAAGTCAACAGCATGGAAAATAATTCAAATGTCAATTACAGGAATATTTATATACAATATCAATTGTATACACCAATTGAAACAATTGTAAAAAATATCAACTGTAAACAAAAATGAATTTTTTAAAATGTTGTAATTACCCAGTACTCAACCTAAAAATAAAGAACACATTTATTTAATAGCCTGGAATGAGAAAATCTGGTTTTGTTGTAAACACACACAGTTTAAAATTCCAATAAACTATTGTGTGTACCATATAGCAACTACAACCAAATAGCACTTAAATGCCATTTAATGGGAAACTGACCAGTGAACATTTTCATATTCACTCATACATATTTCCTGATCATACATTGGAAAATACAAAAATAAGACATGGTTTCTATTTTCAGCATTTTTTAATCACATCACAACTGTTAGAATACTCAAAAATGAATTTACAGCTGAAAGTTACTGCCAAGAGGTTAACAACTATATGAATAGAGAGGAGACTTGCTACCCTACAGAGAAGAGGGGGGCTCTAGGGAAATATGGTGTATGAGCTAGTCTTTTGACATGGGGGACTTCAACAGGCACAGATGAAGAGAAAATTCCGATAAGTGGAAATGCATGAGAAACCAAGAGTTTACATTCTTTCTGAAACAGCCAAGTCTGCACAGAAACTTGAAATAAAACAAGAAACAAATTGAGGAGCACTGGTGCCAAATACTGCAGTTTTGAAAGGCAACACTGAGGAACAAGAACTTAATTCCACAATCAGGAGTCACTCAGCAGAGCCATAGCAGTGAAGAACACTAACTTGGAAAACATGCTTGGAATTGGTATGCCAGTTATTGTACCTACTAGCAACTCCTACAGGCCCATGAAATCTGCATTTCTTCATCTGTATGATGGATAACAGTATCTACAACATAAAACTATTATGAAGATAAATGAGAACAAAGCATTCAGCATAGTGACTAACCTAAGAAACAGTGTTTTGGGGTTTTTTGTTTTGTTTTGTTCTGTCAGGTAGGGAAAACAGCATGATCAGGTCTGCATTTAGAACCATTATTTTGATAGCAGGATGTACAGTGAATACAAAACCTGGAGATTAGGGATGTCTCCTGTTCCCGGTAGTGGAGGCAAATGGATAAAAAGTACTGGGCTGGGAAAACAGAAAAAGGCAGAATGAGGAACCAGTGTAATGAAATGACAAAAATTATTTCTGTGGAAAGAGAAAGAAGGATCAAAAGTGACCTTTGATTTCTGAGCCTCAATAAACAAGAAAATGTTCAGGCTATTAATATAAAATGAGGAAATGAGGCAAGGATTAAATTTGCAATGTATAAGAGTTTAATTCTGAATCTCCTGATTCCAGAAAACAAAATGAAGCTACTTAAAAGTTTACCAAGGAGAACAACAAAAGGCAAGTCTGAGGCATAAGAAAAATTGGTGAGGCTAGTGATGGAGACCTGGATCCCCAACAGACAGAATGAGCAATGGGACCAGGGGTCTGTGTGAGACAAGAAAGGAGAAAATACAGCTCAAAAAAAGGAAGTGAAGTGCTCAGTCTAAGGTAGCACTTGTGTGTGAGAAGCAAGATGAGAAAATGAAAGGGCTGCAAAAAGGACAAGCGTGAGGTGCTGGCCCAGAGAAGAAACAGGGAAGACAAGGACGTCACATGCCACAGCTCTGCAAACACTGTTTGTAACTTCAGACCACTGAACTGACTTATGAGAACGTGCCTATTCAAGGTTTGTAAGAGTGTGCAAGTAACTTAAAAGTGTTAATTATTCCAACTCAAGCCCCAGCAGGACATGGCTAATACAGAACGGAACAACAATTAAATATTTGTTCAGTATCTCAAAGAAACATAACTCTTAAGTTCTCATCTTCCCTAGTATCTATCCACACATTTGACTATACTGATGACCCACTCTTCAAAGAAGCCACCCCTCTCCCTTTGTCTACTTTGATGGCCAATTCTCAGGTTTTCTCTGCTATTTTGGGTTCTCTTTCATCTTAACCAATTTCTCCCTAGAAAAAGACCAACCAGGGATAAAATCCTTTATGCTAAATCCCACAATAGTTTTATACAATTAGTTTTTAAACCCCAACTAGATTTTAAACTCCAGATCATACCTCATGCTTCTTTTGTTATCATTCATAACACCTAAATAATTTTATTGATTTCTGGCTACTCATGAACATATGTCCCAAAATGATTTTCAGGCCGAATTGAAAATAAACTTTCTATTTCTTCCGGTCAGCAATAAAATCTCATTAATCTTTGAGAATACACACACACACAGCATTGGATTCCCTGCCCTCCACTAGTCCAAAGTCCATAGATCTTAACAAACTCTAAATAGAGTTATCTTTCTGGTAGTGAAACGTTTTGGTTCCACATCTATACCTACTTACATCCAGCGTTAAGTTGTCCAAGAGAGAATCAATGACAAATACGCCATTTAAATGTGAATCCAATTTCTATCTTTAACACTTGCCAAGAATACAAACTAAAATGTTTTCTTATATGTGGGTTTCTTTTCAAATACATTTTACAAATTACAATTCAAACACAAATTACAAATTCAAATACAAATTACAACTGATACTAACTTCAGCATTTGCCATTATTTCTTTAAACTACACAGTTGTCACATCTGCTAGAAAACCAAAACATTAATATACCAAAATATTATGACCCATACTCTATTAAATTGTCATGATGCATACTAATAATGAAATAAGCAAGTTTTAATGTTTTTAGGTCTCTCTTTGTATTCTTCTCATCCTATCAGTTTACAAAGAGCGTAACTGGGTTCATAAAATTAATGTTAAGTGAAATGAGATTATCCATCCAAGTTTGGTGAGGAATTAAAGCACCTGGAAGAGCTACAATTTATTATGATATCCAGCATGGCATCAAGCAGTGCCTGACATAACACAATCCCCATCTTTGTGGTTAATTACATTAATTCAAGGAATTTAGTATTTAAATAATACACCACCAGAAACCTCATCTAAATAGACAATGTTGGAGTTTCACACTTAAGATTATATTTCAATGGATATGATTATATTCATGTCTCCATTTTTAAGGAACAATTCCAACACACAAAAAAAGGAAACTCTACGATCAATAATTTTGTCAGGTGGTTTTCATTAATGGGAGGCAGCATGGCAGAGCAAAAACCAGGTTCTTGGATTAAGCCTAAATTTAATGCAGTCACCACCAATAAGAGGAAAATAATTCTGAGCAGTTGAGCTCTCTCTCAGGGTCTCTGTTCATTAATCTATAGATTGGAGAGAAAGCCACCTATGTAGTAAGAAATATATAACAGAAGGCATATTATTACAAGAGATAGTAAGTAAAATGCCATGGATGTGTTTTGATTCATTTTAAACGCAGTTCCCCAAGTAATAAAATACTACATAATTGGGCCTAAAAATTTCAGGCTATATGCGTTTAGAACCTGCGCTTAGAATGCGTTAGATTGTTCTTTGAGGTTATTTTACTCAGTTCCCTGAAAGCTAGCACCAACATGAACACAAAGTACATTTTTAGTAACTACAAGTGATTAAATCAACAAAGCCTCCAGCTCTGCTGCACAATAGATGTAACAGGAATTTCCTAGTTTTCTGTCTTATTTAATAGTAAGTGGTGTATTATCATCCTTTCACTTACAGCTTACTCCCAATGGTTTACTGCGGAAATATTTAATCCCTGGCTGTTTCTATGTGTGTGTGTGTTTCAACCTGTCTGAAATACAAACTTCTGGGCCCACTGGCCTTCCATCTCCCCTTTCCTTCACACGGGAGCCAGTTCATATTTAAGGAGTTGAATTTGTTTTCAATTGACCGTGTGGAATTTAAATTTACTTTGAAACCTTCACTTAAAAAAATAATAATAACCTATTTTAGTAATCTGTTTATGAAGTCATCCAAGCCTCATGTAAGCTACTTAAACTCCGTGTAAACATATTACTCAACTTGCCTAATAAGTAAGTATCCCCAGCTGGCCTTAGACATTCTGAAAGTTTCACATTACGTTTCAAAACATTAGTTTGTAGCCCTTTTTGAAAGCTAAAAGAATATGGAAAAATTAGAGGCAATGTTCAGCAATAAAAAGTACATAACTATGTAACTTTTTAAAAGAATGAAGTATGTAACAAAGTGAAGGAAAATTCGCAGATAATGTTGGCCAATAAAATCTGTAGACTATAAATGATCCCCATTTTTTAAAAAAACATAACTTTTACACGCACAGAGAAGTCCTGAGTGGCTGAACACCCACTCCATCTGAAAACTGGTGACCCTTTCCGGTGACTGGTAAGAGAAGGAAAAATGAGGGGGGTGGATAGCAGCAGTCCTCATTGTTTGGCCGCGTAATTTTGTCTTATAGAGCACGTAGTACTTTTGTAATTAAAAAAAAATTAACTGGGAGGAAACAACTATTGGCAAAGTCATACTTTCTGGGAGAAAATAACTATTGGCAAAACCATACTTTCTCCTCGTATTCCAATTCTTCTCATTTGTAATTTGAAAAATATAACTATGATTCCTCAATTGTAAAAAAAGAACACACAAATACACAGTACTGGAAGTTAAAAAAAATCCTGGATATGCAAAACTACTCCCCAAATTACTTTTCAACAGGAGTACACCCTCCGACAAAGCACGAAGAAAGCAAGCGTGAGCACCCGCTCCGGCCCCAGGCACCGCTCGCCCGACGCAGCCGGCAGGCTCCCTCGAGCCACGTCCTCCTCCAGAATCAACCCCCAAGTCACAGGGCGGCCGAAGACCTCGAAGCGCCCGCGGGTATCTGCGGGGCGCGGCCCCGCGTCTCTGCGGCCCAGAGCCCAGGTGAGAGCCCACGGCCCGCCCGCCCCGCACACCGCCGAACCCTGCAGCCTCCCTAGCCCCCGGCCCTCGGACCCCGACCTCCCGGACACCCTCCAGGCCCAGTCGCCCGCCCAACCCCAGCCCGCGGGTGGCAGCGTTACCTGCGGCGAGGGTCTGTGCGGCTTGCCGCAGCGACGCGCGACCAGGCGCTAGGACTCAGAGCTCCGCGGCAGCTTGCCCTCCGCTACACAACAACAAGGCCGTCCCAGCCACCGCCCCCAGGAGGGGCGGTCCCGACCCGCAGCTGGGGAGACCTGTCCGTCACGGCCGGCGGCGTAGTCGGAAGCCCAGGCATGCGCGGTAAGCCGCGGGTGCGGGGCCCGCTCCGCGAGAACGCCCCCGCCGCCCCGCCCCCAGCCCGGAATCTCTCCGCCCCCACGCCAAACAACGCGAGGTCTTGACCGCGCCTGGGGATGGCCGCGGTTGGGAAGGATCCCTGAAGGCGGGGTCTCCACATCCCGCCCGCTCCCGGGGGTGGGACTCTCGGTGCGCAGGCGTGCATGGGCGGTCGGGCGGTTGCCGGTGGCCAAGTGGGGTTGAAGGGTGGAGAATGGCGCGTGGGGTCTGCTCTGCCGAGCCGCGCTCCACCTGGGGCCTCGGCGTCGGGGTCCCTGCGGGGTCCCTTCCCAGAGGGGTAACTGCATAGAAGCCTTTGTGGAGAGCGCACGCGGGATTAGCTGAGTAGCTGCGTATTGTTCTGGAGGTTGTGTCCCTTCGAGGTGTCAGTTCCGTCGGGGCGGCGCGCGGGGCGTTGGGCTTGTTGCTTCCTGGGTTGACGGTTTTCCATCCAGCGAATCGAGTGCTGAACGGCTGAGACCGTGGGCTGGCGAGCCAGCGTCTCGTGGCTGGCATAAACAGCTCCCTCGTATTGCCGGCACGATCCGGGGAAGAGGGGTTAAAAGTTACGGAGAGGACGGGGTACAGAGCCCTCAAAGCTCGGGAAAACTCCACCCCAGGAGCCTGATTGGTAAACGACCTGTTCCCGCCTTTGGAGGTTTACTGCGTCAGAGGCGGTGAGCCCGCCGAGAGGGTCGGACGCCCCACCTCCCTGTAAACCTTGTGCCCCCCACGACCTATTCAATAGTGATTTTTTTAGAAGCGTTTGCAGTGATTGTGACCTACCTACCTTTATAGGGTCCCTACGGTAAATTAGGGTTAGGTACAACATCGGGCCCAGGTGGTGCTACCCACCATAGTTGTGTGCAAAAATGGCTAATACGTTCATGAAAGGAGAATGCAAGCCAGGTTAAAACTGAAATCACGAAATAACCTGTAAGCGAACAAAGTTGCTGCTAAGGTGGTCTGCCATTCAATTCACCAACTTCATTTGGGTTTAAAATGTGAATGCAAATTCAGTGGACATTTCAGCTTCTAACTGCAAAATCTTTATTCATGGGCACTCTAAATTTGAGTCCCCCGTTACAGATTCTTTGGCCTGCTTCCAGGGCACTCCTAACTTATGAGATAATGGAGGAGTCTTGCAGGATTGGCTTTCTGCTATTCCAAAAAAAATTTTTTTGTTATACTTTTTTTTTTCGGTATCATTAATATACAACTGCATGAACAACATTGTGGTTACTAGATTCCCCCCATTATCAAGTCCCCACCACATACCCCATTACAGTCACTGTCCATCAGCGTAGTAAGATGCTATAGAGTCACTACTTGTCTTCTCTGTATATACTGCCTTCCCTGTGAACCCCCTACATTATGTGTGCTAATCATAATGCATGCCCCTTATTCCCCTTATCCCTCCCTTCCCACCCATCCTCCCCAGTCCCTTTCCCTTTGGTAACCATTAGTCCATTCTTGGGTTCTGTGAGTCTGCTGCTATTTTGCTCCCTCAGTTTTTTTCTTTGTTCTTATACTTCACAGATGATGGAAATCATTTGGTACTTCTCTTTCTCTGCCTGACTTATTTCACTGAGCATAATACCCGTCCAACCAGAAATTTTAGCACATGAAAATAACATAAGCAAATTAAGTAGAAATGGTTAAGTTAGAAAATAATCAAATCATTAAACTGTTATAGCCTTTACCCTGTCTTTTCTTCTACATTTTTTATGTATTCATTATGGTGTAAGAATTTTTCATAGTTCCAGACCTTTTTTCTCTTCCTCTACTGCATTAAAGTTGACCACAGGTCATTTTTAAGACTACTAGTAAGCACTCTGTTAGTAAGCAGGACCAATTGCTATTCTTATGGATAAGTAGTTAAACAGCAAATCATAAACCCTGTATCTTCTTGTGTGTGGTACACACCTCATGCTGCCACCCCATCTCCATTTTCAGACCGTTTCTGATTATGCCTCCGGTTGGCACATTCCATTTATAACTTAATTTTGGTGAATGTGTGTCTCCCTACTAACCTGTAATTCCACAAAGTCTGGGCATGTGCTGATTGTGTTCACTATTGCTTTTGATGCCTAGTACAGTGTCTGCTACAATGTTGGTACTCTGAAATTGTCAAATGGGCACTATAAATATTAAAGTTTTCCATCATCTAAAGTTATTTAGAGTTTGATTTAGGCTTTGATTAATTTAGAATGCCCACAAACAGCTTATTCCTAGACTTGTTGGTCCGTTGTTGCATCAAGTTTGGTTCTGGCAGCAGCAAAGTAACACTTGTAAAAACTTAATTCTTCATACCAGGTTGCTTCAATTTTAATATTAAGCAGAAAATACCCAAAGTGAATACTTTGAGAATACAAATTACTGTGTAGTCAGGAGCCTTGTAATAAAAAAATGCATAAGGCGTTGAACAAATGCTTATTAAACTAAATCAAATTCAACATACAAACTACTGTCACCCTCCTAGGAGTTCACATTTCCCCTAGGCATGACAGAGTTGTTGCATGTTTTCTTCAGACTCAGAATGGGAAGTTTCCGTGTGTTGCCCAGATTAACTTTAAATGATCTAGTTATTTGCAAACACCTGTGTTGCAGTGATAGGTCGTGGTTTTGGCTTATGGTGCTAAGTCTGGTCTTTAAGACCTGAAAGAAATCCTTTATATCTTTCACTTGACCAGCACTGTCTGTAGAAAACCCAGAACTAAATCCTATTAAATATGAAGCTGTTTTTTTATTTCCTTGTACTATTTTCAGTATAGTTATAAGTCTATCACCTATGACCCCTCCCCACAAAAACAATAAATATTTCCTCTCCAAAAAAGAATTACTTTAACTGTACTTATTTTTCTCTATTTAAAAGACAAGAACAACACATGAGTATTTCTTTATTGATTTTAAGAAACATAAATTTGGTTTGTTCAGAAGAGGGTAATGTTTTCCAAAGAAGAACTAGAATTCGAAAATGAAGGAGAATGCTTAAGACCCTACATTCTAGAGAAGTAATACCTATATAATTTATAAGTTGAGGAAATAAAGCAGTCTTAGAGCTGACAGATGAAAGGGAATCTCCTAATTTACCAACAATCTTTGTCTATAGCCATTATTAGTACTTCTCTTATTACAACATCTCCCTGGTACTGTGTTCTACTGTTGTCACAATTACTTGACATATTGAGAATCATTATAGTCAAAATTTAGGATCAAGAGTTCTATGACAAATAGCTCTAAAAATAGCTTTCCTCTAGAGAAAAGTGAAAAAGACTTTGTTTAAACCAGTGGTTCTCAAAATGTTCTTTGGACCAGAGGCATCCCATCAAAAGTTGTAAGTGCAAATTCTTGGTGCCTCATGCGGACATAGTCCTCTGGGTGCTTCTGATGAATGCTTGTTTCAGAACCATTGTAATTCAAAGATAGGAAATTAGGTAGAAAATAGGCTTCCTGTGGTGAAAATACTCCATTGCTGGTATCCCCAATGTCTAGTATCTCCTGTCTAAGGAAATTGTCCTCATTGTTCATGGATCTACCCCAATATTTGTTCTTCTATGAGCCTTACTCAATCCTTTGAGCCACAATAGAATGTTAGTGTGTTCACATTCAAAGACATTGTTTGTGATTGTGGATATGACTAGAAAGACTGCTCAGATGATCCTTTCTACATCAGAAAATTACCTGGAATTGTGTACCACTACTGCTTAAGTGGGCCTTAACCTTTAGTAGCTGTTCTTATTTTCCCCTCAGAAACTACCAAGCCAGAATGCCAAGTCGATCAGCAGACTCCAAGAGTTTTCAGAATTTCAAAGCTATTCTATATCTTCTGAAACTTCCTAATATGTAACAAACCCTGACAAGGCATATGTAAAGTCATTTTATAATAACCTTTTTCTTAAAAAAGCAAACAACCCAAAACATCAAAGAATTCAACTCTTAAATGACCAAACAGCAAATGTAAAAAACACATACGTTGCTGTGTCCAGCCACCTCCCTACACCAAAATTACTCATAGCAATATACTGAAAAGCAGAAAAGTTGCCTTTAGCTTCTCAAATTCAGTAACTGTTGAATTATAACTAGTAAAGAGAATTATGTACAATGAAAATTGCACTTTCCCAGTTATTCGGCCCTTTAAGTGGGCACTTCACAAATTCCTGCCTATTTTATATTAAAAATGAAACCTATTTGCACAGTCCATATTCAATTAGAAATTAATTTTAATTTTAGACCATAATATATGTACGTATCTGTTAATACTGGTTTTATATAGATATCACTTATCTGACAAAACAAAAATATCAAACACAAATAGTTGACTGTTTTAGGCCTCATTTCTCACTTTCTAAGGATTTACTTAAAAATAGCTCATCTGATGATGGAATACTGATTCCCTCATTAACTCTTTTCTACTGGCTGAAGAGAATTCATTATACTCAATGGAAGCTATGCAAATAACCCCTTTGATCACCTAAATTGAGAAATCTTGAGGTTACTCGTTGAGTTTACCTAACATAATAATTGTATACTAATATAAAGTTGTCCAAATGATACTTAAAGCAATATATAATATCACTCCATTAATAAGTAAATTGATAGAGATTCAGCCAGTCTTATTTAAGAGAAAATTTCATTTAGTCTATGTAAGAGATAGAGCTAACTGCTGTGTTTATGTTTATGTCTTTATGTCATGAGTCTTAAGAAGTTGATGAATTAGATTATTTATTGCTATATACATTTAAATATGTGAAACAACTATTTGAAAGTAATGACATGAGAACTTTTATTTTTTCAGTTTTTTTAAACTAAAAACAAGAACTATTTACCCTTTTCTCCCACCCCCAGCCCTCACCTCTGGCAATCACTACTATGTTCTACCTATGAACTTTGTTTTTTTGTTTGTTTGTTTTTTTCATTATCTTTTATAGATGCCACACATAAGAGAGATCATACAGTATTTG